TTGTTTGACAAGTTTGTGGCAGACAGAAGAAAAAGATGAAATTTCCTGAACCCGTTGTCCTGTTCAAGGAAGTAAGTAATGCAGTCAGTGGAGAAGATTTTAACAGGACATGACGGGCTTGCAGTATATACTGCAGAGTGCATAACTGCAGAGCTCCAGTTATGTGGAGGATTGCCAAATCAAGGAAAAGAAGTGGAAGATTCAGAAAAGAGCTATAAAAAACAAATGTGCCACTCAACCGTGGTATCTGATAAGTATTACCAATTAACTTGAACCAACCTATGAGAACTTTTTACAAGTCTTAAAATAAGTATTTAACCCATTCCATAGCACCTGCCTTCTGGAGGAAGGTAGTGCATTTGGTCAGCCTTACCCACCTTCGGGCTGGTTTTGTTACTGTCACTTACGAGTATCTTTGAGTGCTGCTCCAAATAGCCTAAGTGAAGCATTTTGTATAGATGCAAGCTGTCCTCATAGACTGCAAGATCAGCAAGCTTTGGAAAATCTATTTTGTTTTGTAGGGGAAAATTCAGCAAGTCCCAGAATAGGGAAGGTAGTCCAAAAATTTACGTATTCTGTTTAGTACCAAGGACAGCTTTGTAGCCAGCTCATTCTAGGAGTATCAGATAAACCTTCTGTTAGACAGAAAGCTGAAGTATCTGGTCTAATAGGCAAAACGACTAATGATTTGCCACAGTACCTCCTTATGATAATGTTAACCTTATTATATTGCATAGTTGAAACTAATGTGATTAGAGATGGCAGATTCTCCTTACTGCATGAAAAACAGTCAGGGGAACAGAGCTGTCCCACACTGTCAGTTTATTTTAGTACCAGGATAGTGACACCTCTGTGGTTACACTAGGGGAGCTAATGTTTCTGCATGGTGGGGAGAATTCTCTGCTGGGGAAAACTGCTAGGGCTACGAGGGAGATTCCTGGTTCTACCACTAAAATGGCTGTAGTTGCAGAACTTGAAAGAGTATCCACATTCTCCCCTGTGCCCAGTTGTTACCCACTTACCTCTCACATTGCTGGCAGGGCTGATCAGATGCTTCTGCATCACCCCAAAGCTTGGTGCACCAAGCACAGAGGGTAGCTGGTGTCTCCCCAAGGTTCCTTTGGAGCTGCGCTGCCTGTGCCATCCCCAGCATAGGTCGGATGTCTGACTGTCTAGCTCACGTGCCCAGTGCCTAGTGACATCTCTCAGAGTATGACTTCACTGTGACATCTGTTGCCCAACAGCAATGAATGCTCCAATTTCTAGGCATCCATCATGTTTACGTCTACAAATACATTTAACTGATTTAAAGAAAGTAATGTTGTTTGGTTTTAACTGTTAATTTGAAGCTGAAGCTCTGATGCTTGCAAAAAAATGAATAAGCAAGGATTTGTTTCCCAATATGAAGCAGTTGCTTCCCTTTGCAGAAGAAAATAAGAAAAGGTTGTAGCACTGACATTTCACATTTAAAGTGAAATGCATCCTAGTTCGTGATATTGCAGATAGTTATTTTTTGTAGCCTTTTTGTGTTGATTAACTATTATTTCATGAAATAAAATAGACTACTTCTGTTATTCTCCTTGTCAAAACAAATCAATAACATTTGCATTCACAAGAGAGAAAATAGGTGATGACTGTTTCCTCTGCAACAGCAATTGTTATTTTGATAGCACTTAGAGGTGGAAGTATTTCAGAGTATATACAGGTCTATGGAGCTGACACTTGCTGTTAAATTCTTAAATTGCTTTTTCAAGCCACACTGTGATCTTAGTAAATTTGCTGACTCATCTTGAAGATTTGTGCAGATTTATAAAATACATGTATTTAACTTTTGAGAGATTATTTGCACCAAAGGTTGCTGTTTTCTAGTATTTTTGATGGTAGTTTTTTTCCCTTAATTGTGTAAAATCGGGATTAAACCCTGGAGAAGTCATACTGCAGTATTTGTCATTCAGCCACTTCAGTCCCATATTTCAGCCCAGAAGTCTTGAGGGCCTGTTAAAACTGCAAAGATCCTAGATTTGCTTTCTGCTATTTGAGATTGGTAGTGTGCTCACATCTGTTGCATGTATAGGCGGATATGCAGTGGCATCCTGAGCTTTACTGTTCCTTCCAATGTAACAATGTACTGGGTCACTGCTATTGGGTCAATAATCTTGATGAGATGAGAGAACCTGACAAGTCTCTGAGGCACCTTGCGAGGAATGCTAAGTTCATTGGCAGCATTTATTTTTGCTGATCTCAGCCTTTATCTTGAAAGAACCTTACAACTTCATAGAATGATTGTCATGATACTACAGTAATAATGCTGCCAAGTCTGATAATTTGGGGGATTATTTAGAATAGTATTTTGTTTTTAATAGGGGAGGACCATGTAGGCAAGTGCAGCTCAGGTTTCTGCTCTAAAGTTTTTCTTTGTATTCCTTCAGGATTTTTTTTCCTTCCCTGTGTCTAGTTTTGTTGGCGTTTGTGCAGTGAAGCTCCTCAAGTCCGTTAAACTGCATTGATGTTCACTGAACCCATAGCCAGTTTGTATCAATTCTGCATTTTGCCTAGTAAAGATTTCTTAGACCTCACAACTCTTCTGTCTGCCAGGACTGTGAGTGTGAATAGGAACAAAGAATGAAAGACTAATACATGCTCTTCCTCTAGCAATCTTGATTTTTGCTTTCGCAGATGAGGTCACTGGAATTCGGATGGTCTAACAACATCTGAAGACTGGTAGTTGATATTAGTGCTTTGTCAGTTGATATTAGAAGCTTGCCATAGGAAAATAAGCTGTGTCTCTAGCAGCTTAGAAGCCACAAGTTATTCTGCCGTTTTTGACCTTGGGAAAGCTACTGAGCTTCTCTGCTTCTGTTTTCCCCTCTGCAGGAGTGGTGGCATGTTACTGCCTCACCTAGATCCTAGATCTAGTACATATTAATGTTAATGTCTTAATGTACATTAAAAGCATGTAATAGCAATTCAAGTCCCAGTTGTCCTTATGACTTAAAATGGCAGTTAATTCCTGGAATTTTTTTATTCAGTTTTATTACAGACATTATAGAACATTAAGTTCATTTACACGCTTAATGCATTGATTGAAACATTTTCTGTTACTCATAACATCTATTCATAACCTATTCTCAGAAGGGCAATCTTTCCCTTGTTATAAGTATGCCTATTACGACATGTCATTTGTGCTGCCAGTTTGTCTCTATTTCCCTGATAAATTACCAGCTTTATGATAGATTAAGTTGAAACAGAGAAGAGTATAATTTCCATGTAAACTTTTTTCTGCAACCTCTGTTGCCAATTTGTGCCCTACTGCAAACAACTTTCCCCTTCATCCCAAAGCATATGTGCCAGGCTGAAGTATAACTCTAGATTCATGCATCATTTTTTACCATTTCAGAATGCATCTTAAGAGTTGGTGAAAATCTGATAAACTCTGCCACCAAAATCCTCAGGTTTCATCCTCCTGACTGAAATGAGTTTGAGAAGAAAGACCATGCCCAAAAAGCCCTGCGTCACAAACAGCAGCAGCAGAAGCTTTAGAAACCTTCTTGTGCCCCTGGAATGTATCTTTAATTTTGACTTAGGGAGACAGCTTCTGGATCTAAAATAGTCTTATTTTCTGTCTTGCCCATGTAGTTCTCAGTCTGTCTGGTAAGGCGACAATTAATTTCAATTCCTTTGTGGGCTCTTATACACTAGCAGCTGAATCAGGGCCTCCGTTTGTTCAACATACGTACAAAGAGCTGTTAAGTGGCAATATCTCTGTGCGAGAATGGCATCTGCGGCAAAGCAGTGAAAAATCGCTGTGTCCAAAAAGATAGTGTGTGAGACCAGTTCCTCTGGGACACCCAGCTCTGCTTCAGACTGTAGATTTATGAAATGAAATGCATTAGATATTTCTGCCAGTGTCTTGTAAATCTTACAAAACATATTTGAGTCAGAAAACATTTATCTTCCATAAAACTTGTCAACAGCATTGCTTTTTGTCTAAACTTTATCATTGCCTAAGGATAGAAACACTTAATATTTATAGCTCTGCCTTCTCTCTCTGTCTCTCAAACATATGCCTGTATTGTAGAAATGTATATATAATGGTTTGAAGTTTTTTCAGCTCTTTTTTTTTTTTTAACTGGTAAGTTCAGAAGAGTGTACTGTGGATCTGAAAACATGCTGATAAAAATGTAACTCTATTCCAAAGTCAAAGAGCCTGGGATGACAGATGAAAAGCATGCATTATTTTCCTGCTGGATTTTACAGGAGGGATTTCACTTTTTTGGTTTTATCTGTACCATGAGTCACTCATATACTTAAATTCTGATTTTTCATGAAAATATTTTCTCACTAGAATCACTGTAAGTCATAGTGGTGTAACTCTTTTGCTGTATTGGTCACATAAAGATGGTGCAACAGTAATTGCAAGTGCTTGTACTAGTCAGCTATGAATTATTAAAACCCGTGTGTTAAGATACATTTATCTTCTTAAAACAAGTACTTGCTTGGCTGTAGCTTTGTCCTCTAATTTTGTTGCAAAAGACAAAGCTGATTTAAAATGGCGAGTTTGAAGCAATACTGTGTTTTTTGGTGAATAACGCTAAAAAAAATTGTGGTACAGACCACCTGATCATGTGGGGTTTTTGCTAATGACCCAGAGGAATTTATACACAATGGCCATATCCAGTGACCCTGACTTGACTTTCTTAAGAATACTGCAGTACTGCGTGTGTTTCATAAGTGCTTTGCTTAGACAGCTGACTTAATCAAAAAGCTGTGGAAAAGGCTGATTTTAATCAAGAAGAACACAAAACACGAGGCAAAACGAGGGGCTTAAAATAGAAAGTAGTATTATCAAGAAAGTGAATGATACAGAAAAATTACAATGAGATGAGAAGCTGCTTATTTCTAGATCACTAGTTCGAATAAAGCTCCTCTATGGTAACTTGTAAATCTTGTTGCCATCCAATACCTGCTTGGTAGCCTAAACTGATGAGCCACTTTGATATCTGCTATCCTATGTGCATGCCCATAAGGATGCATCTGTAACCCACATACATCCTTCACAGGCAAAGGAAGCACCAAATGGTCCTGGATGCTGAACTATTTCTTGCTCCTTTCATTTGTACTCCCAGGAAGGACTTAGTGAACTTGTACTTATTCTGTGTACGTGTTGTTTTAAAATTCACTGAATGATCCAATGGTTGTGTTCACCACTGGAAGTTAGGTTTGGGGTTTTTTTCAGGGGTTTGGGTTTTTTTGTTGTTGTTCTAGCAATGTTAACAGAATTTCACAGCATTTTAGTTTCTCTTGGAATTTTAATTCCAGGCTTTTGAATTTCCTATCTTTCCTCCTAAAAAGAGTTACACAAAAAATAGGTTATAGAGAAAACAGATTTAAAAAATGAAGTTCATAGAATTCTTAAAGCATATCAATAAATTAAATGTTGGTTGAAAAGTTTTGATAGTGCATTTATGTGTCATTAGGAGAATTCAGCTGATGAATTTTAAAACTATTCCCAGGATAAAATTTTTGGGGTCAAACTCATTGAAGTCTAATACAAAATTTCACTAGCCAGTTCTTCATGAATCTCTCTTACTTTGTGGTACAAAACATGGACTATCACTAAGAAAACAGAGTTCTTCTCTTCAAGGCATCCAGTAAAGGTGTGCATCTCATTGTTGGTTAGTTTGCAATAGTAAATGTTGCAATTAACAAAATTACTTCGTTGAAGTGGTTTCTGCTGACTCACAGATAAATCTAAGCATCCATGATTTTTGCCTGCCAGCCTTTCATCCTCATTTCACATTGGAAAAGCAACATGAGCTATAAGATAAAAATGGGTTGGGGAAGCTGACTCTCTTCCTGACTTTTCCTTTTACTGTTTGATCTTTGCCTCCTTATGTTCCTGTTTCCCTGCTTGTATTGATATGTTCCTTTGTAAAGGGCTTTGAAATCAACACGTTAGCAGAGCTAGATAATAGTAGTACCTACCACAGCTCTTAACTTGCAGGAAATGATCAATCACACTCTATGCAACAAAAGAAATATGATGTTAGCTTCAATTCAGATTGATCTCCAGCACCAGCTGGAGTGAGGAGCCAGCACAGGAGAAGGGATATTGTCACTGCAGCCCCCACAACATACAGCATATAACTGTGCTGTTAGCAAACAAACCTGCCAGGTTTAGCTTTCTCCCTTGTTATTTTCACCAGCTCCCAGAGTCTCTTTTCTTCAAGCTCAGTTTCACATACTCAGTCCCCTGCGCTTCAGAGAGTTGTGCCCTTGCCTTCCCTTTAAGTGAGTCGACATCTACTTGCCCAAGGAGTGGTTTCCCTCTACCTTTCTCCATTCCTTCTCTACAATCCATACCTTTCCTTCCTCCCACTCTCTTACTCCGCCTTTTGCAAGCAGGTGACACATTTTCTCCCTACTGCCTGCACACCAGTAGAGAGGTCACGCAGACACCAGGCTGAAGACATGCTTATCACTGTATTTGCCACAGATCTTTAGTTCTGTCCTGGCTGCCAGTATTTATGCCTGTGTGCTGTCCTACCTCTCCCTACCAAGTGTTGTACCTCAAATCTAATGTATGCTCAGTTTAAATCCATTAGATGTCATGATGGTCATGAAGATCTTTCTGTCATCATTTCTTCTCAGAAAGGGATGAAAGACCACTGCTTTCCTAAATACAGTGAGAGAAGCAACTTAGTCTTTCATGGAACTGTTTCCTTATTTATTTGCTTTTCTTTCCCAACAGCTCTGGTTTACACACAGGTGACAGTGTTACAAAAACAGGACCTACGGGCCTTCCAGACATGAGACAAGTGCCAACTGTTGTGATCGAATGCGATGACAATAAAGAAAATGTGCCTCATGAAACTGACTACGAAGATTCTTCCTGCCTCTACCCAGGAAGACAGGAAGAGGAAGAAGATGAAGAGGAGGATAACTCATTATTTACAAGTAAGACTTATTCCATTTTTCCTTTCTCATTTATTTTAGTCTGAACTCTCAATACAGAAGGGAAACACAAGGCCTGTGAATTTTCTTTCTTGTCAGTGGCTTTTGCATCTCTCAGGACTCAACTACATGGTGATACTTGGTAAATTAATCCAAAATAACAAGTAGTATGAATTTATAGTGATTTACCTAATCCACATGAATCCCAGCTGGGTAGCTCTCAGACAGAATCTAAATGTCTGGTTTTGGCTTATATTAATTCACTTCCTAATTGACTTTTGGATTCACTTTCCTAAGTGTCATTGGTGTAGAGAAGCCCTGCCTTTGCCCTAAGTCAAGACCTGCTCAGTAGAGTTACTTCAGGAGGATGAAATAATTGCTACTAATAGAGAATCTTAGCTTTTATATGTAGTAAGTATTAAATAATGTCAGAATTGTAAGTTTGCACATACTTTGAAAGGGTCACAGTCAGAGAATTGGGCTCAGATAAGAAGTGATTAACTGATAGACATACTGCAATTTCAGTCTGGAGAGGGACCTGTGGCCCCTTCCTGGCCTCTCTAAGAAAACCCATCTCCTGCCTTGGTGTGGCATCACAGGACCCTCCTATGTAGACAGGATACAGTACTTTGCCTGTGACAGCTGCTTGTAATCCTGCAGGTTGAGCGAAGTTTCAGACCCCTGCATTTAGTTTCTTCTGAAAACTGCGAGCAGTACAATCCAACAACACCCTTTTTAAAAAACACACAAAGAAGATTCTAAAGCAGACATATTTCATCTCCCCAGAGTCCTCCCTTACCCTGGAAGTGAAATAAAGAGTCTTGGCTCTTAAACTAAGAAACAGAGAAGAACTGCACTATCTTGCACTCCCCTGCCAAAGGCCAAAACCTCTCATGGGTTTGTGTCTCTGCTTGTTTCTGCCTTCCCTGCTCATCCTTCCTAGGAAAGCAATCTTGAGCCGTGAAAGGCCACTGATTTTCACAGTGTCTTTGCTGCCATCACTGCCTGAGAAGCAGTGTCAGTTAATGCACATAGAGATCTGTGCTGCTTCTGATTGACTTCTGATTTCTTCTAGTGATAGCTTAGATGTCTTGATACTACACTGCGAAAGAGAGATACCTCTCTCTTTCCACATGCTGTAGCTCTGCTGCCTGCCTAGATTCTGAGGTTGAATTATTCATTCCATTACACTATTCTAGAGAAGGCTACAGATGCTCCTAGCAGTTCTGAACCAAGACCTTCTCCACTCCCCTCTATGGAGCATTATTTTAATTTCTTTTTCTTGTATACCTGCCAAATTCAGCTTTTCTTTATTATGATATGAATTGAGGTTAACAGAGCACCTGAGGTTACTTAACGCCCCTTTTCCCACAGTCTGTACTAGTGTAAGTGAGAGCCCAGTACCAGGAGACGGCTAGTGCTTCTTTGCATGCTGTAATGAAATGATGAAACCTCATTTGGCAGAGCCTCTTCTCTCTTCCACAGGCTCCCTGGCAAGGAAGATCTGCAGGCAGGACTCCTTAGCAATCAAACTAAGCAACAGGCCTTCCAAGCGAGAGCTGGAGGAAAAGAACATCCTCCCCATGCAGACTGATGAAGAGAGGCTTGAACTTAGGCAGCAGATTGGGACAAAGTTAACAAGGTAGGAGACAAACATTTTTCTCACTTTTGCTCTTGGAAATACATGGTGGGATGCAGTTTTTATCCCTAGTCTGTGAATACTTGATATATGTTTGTTCACAGTTTATCAAGAGGAGAAGCAATGGGTAGGAGAGGGAAGACTCTAGACATTATTTCTGCTCCAGTATAACTTCTCATACAATGCCCCATTTCATTTTCCTGGAATACCCTATGGGATCTTTGGTTGTGTTAAGTATCAGCACGTACTATGGGGATTTGGTTGTTTTCGGTGTGCCATTGGGAAACGTTCAGCTTTGGTAACATTTTGGAGTGTAGCTGCAGTTGTCATTTGATAGGCTATCAGTTTGGCCAAAGGGCAGAGATATAATTTTCTCTTCTGACTGCATCTCCTATGAGTAGCTGAGTCATTCATGATCCAAAATATTTATGTCTTTTAGTACCTGTTTTTGTTGTGTCAGATTGGACAGATTTACCCTATCTAAACTCTATTCTTCATAACAGTGTTACTTACCAGCTGTTCCGGTTTTCTGTATTGCATGGAGTATAGAGGGGTGGTCATTAAATATGCAAGATTTCTGTCAACAATTATTAAGCTGAGGTCAGGTAGAAATGTCTAAGAATCTCCTATGCTCCAGCCATGATTTCCGTAATATATTTAATACTGTTATGTTATCAACTTGGTGGAATGCAGAACTGGCAAATGCTGCTAGTTTCACTCCAGTGTGACTCTGAGAAAACCACAAATAGAAGACCAACCGGTTGGTTCATGGTCTTGTCTATCGCCTCCTTGAGATAAACTAACTGCGTCTTTCCAGTCTGTCTGTGAAAGTCTTTGTGCTGGATCATGCCTAGCCTACTCCAAGACCAGTCTAATTCTTCAGTATTCTTGTTGAAGAGCCTCAGCAGTGATGCCCAAAGTATGCAAGATGGTGCTGCACTTTGCTGCTACTGTGATTTTTTAGTCCAGTCTTTATTCAGCCTAATACCTTGTTAGCCTGCAGCTGCACATGGAGCTCTGGGTCCCAAAGAGCAGCATATGATAGCAAGGTCCTGATGTCTGCATGATTAATTTTGAACCCTTTTGAAGCTTGGGAAGAATTGAAATTTTTGTCTCTTAGTGTATCCTACTGTGCACTGCTTGACCTTGAAATGACATTGAACAGCATTTCCACTGTGTTGCCAATTTGCCTAAATTACTTGGGTCTCGCAGGAGTTTTACAGCTCTGTCTGATGAAGGCAAATAGTGTCACTTGCAGACATTGATTCTGTACAGCTCACTGTGCCCCAGGTGTTTTTTATGATAAATGTTTTATACTCACCTCTCCAAAACCTGATTTTCCCCCATTAAAGAATGTTTCTTCATCATATCTCCTTTTAACAGGGAAACTAATTTTGGCAATACCCAGACTCCTTCCTCTGTAAGACCCATATTCTCACAATGTTGTTCTTTGTTCCCGTAATTGCATCTCTGCTCATTCAGTCTGAGGTATGATGCTTGATATTCTAATATAGCTAGGACTTAGTGGCCATCACAAATACTTCAAACAATTAAAACTGTGTATGTACAAGATCAAAAAATAGCTGAGCCACTGCTGTTTCATTCCTGGTTTATACCAGTGTAACATCACTGAAATTGGTAGAATTTCGTAAGCCTTATCTGGAATAATATAGTTGCTAGCCTGACCTTTTAATTACTAGTATTTACAACTTAGTATCTCATCCTTTTGAGTAGTTAAAAACAATCAAGAAGTATTAACAGAAAACAACTTTCCTCATCTCTAATATGCAAAAAGCCACAGACATTGCAGCAGCAAAAAGGAAGTACCTGTTACCTGTCTTACCAGTGCTTTGTATCTAAGTGTGATGTGTCTGTATGCACAGAGTGATGAATATTGGATTGAAGTAGAGAGACTGTTTCAGTTTGGACAGTATTTCTTTATTCTCCCAACTTCATTACTGAATCAATCCATCCTTTGCTCAGTAATTGTCACACAGTGATGCAGATGCCAAGCAAAATTAAAGTTGTGAAGCATTTATAGTCCTTAGAGAAGATGCTCGATGCGGACTATAATTGCAGCTGGCAATTTTGGATTTCAGAGGGATTTGTAATGTTCCACCAATGGTCCTCTATGGTTTAAAATAGCCAGCCAATGAAATCACATATGCTACTTACAGAAGTAAAAAATGCAGAATAAAAACTTCAGCAAGTAGTTATTGTATGTAATGGATCCATTAATTTTCACCAAGAGGCTGATTAGGATACTTCAGTGTTTATGCATAATCCTCACAGTTTGGAAGAGCTCACTGGCTGCCACATTTGGCAGATCAGAATTTAGTACTATAAAGAGAATGTAATTTTTAAAGATGCTTATAGCCAGGCATATTGAGAGATTGACCACTGACATATTGTGGGGGACCAAAATCATCCCAGGTGTAATTCCTCCAGCTTTATGAGAGTTGCACCTGGAATCAGTTTGGCTCAGAACTGCTTGTTCAAATCCTATTCAAATGCAGCTTGGAAGCTCTGCACCCCCAGTTAGTCCCAGAAAATTGTTGTGACTTTATTGTTGCATCCACCAATTGGTAGAGAGACTCCAAAGCAGATTTCTCCATGTTGCTTGTTTCCCATGCTGAAAGAATAGTGCTTGACTTACACCAAACACGTTGAAAGAGTGAGGCTGCAGAAACTGTATCCTATAGCAGCATCTGGCCTGCTACACATCTGAATATTGGCTCAGTCATGAGACAAATTACAACCTTTGTGCCTATCATAGAAACACTTCACATGAATGTGATGCTTCTCTGGCATGTATCCTGTATCATGGCTCAGCACATGTAGATCCAAGTGAAATGGAACTTTTTGCCCAAAATGGCAGAATTCATCCTAGCAAAGGCAGGAGATCCCATATCACATGAATACCAGCCATATGAATAGGCCACTGCACCATAGACTATTTCTGGGCAGTCTTTACACAGCAATTACAGCAACTAATTAGAAGACCTCCTCCTCTAACCAAACCAGAATGGACTACTCCAAAATATGATACCTACTGCGAAGCAAGGGGCAAAAATAGTGAGTTAAGATGCAGAACTTACAACTTGTAACTACATGTGACTTGGGGATAGGAAATGGATGCTGGAGGACATGTTCTTGGCTACTAAAAACCCTTGTAACTCCATTAACTTCTAATCTGAAATGCAGACCTTCTGTGCTAAGTAAATCTTTAAATGGGTATGGTTTTCTTGTTTGGTGTTTTTCTGCCTGCTCAGCTTTTCCCAATCTCCTCCTCCATTTTATCCCTCTGGTGCCTGCACAGCTTCACAGCTGCTCAAGAAGTGCATGTAAACAGGAAAAGCCAGAACTCGGAAAGTTAACAGGCAGAGGGAAGACAGACTTTTGCCTTCAGCCTGTCTCTCTGGCTGTGTTGGACCTGCTGGGAAGCACAGGTCCCCTGGTTATTGAGGCCACAGCCAGGGACAGGAGGATCTGGATGTAGCTTTCAGTGGCTATCAGGGTGAGAGGAGTGGGGCATATATAGGCTATGATTGTGAAGCAAGGACTTAAACAGGCTTCGGATCTGAGCTTGGAGGTTCTCCTAGGCACAGTAACAAAAGCATGGCCTGTGAGAAGCCCCTGCTGAGGAGGAGGGCCAGCACTGATGGGTGATGCACAGCAGAGCTGCCTGTCTCCCAGAGACTGCAGGACCATCTCCTGATACTGAGACAGGTGCTTCACTGCTGGTCCTTGCACTCCTGTTTCACCAAGGAATCATAATGGTGGTCATAAGAGACCACACAAATTTCCTCAATCAATACGTTATTTAGTAAGCGCTAGAGCCCTTTAGAGAAAATGTATCTATTATTTCAGACTTTGCTGAGGACTTTGCACTCCTTTGAACCAGGAAGACCTGGATTCTTTGCATGTCTTTCACAAAGTCTTTTCATACCTTGAGACAACATATCTTTAGACTATAGCTGATCTGCCACGCATCCTACCGGAGAGGCTTTCTAAAGCACTCAAGTCTTTCTCGAGTCTGTTATCCCCCCAAGACTAGTGAAGGTGCTCCTTAGCAGTTAGATACAGGAGTATTAAAGCTGAGGTTTGGGTCCACAGCTTTTCAAGAATGCATGGCAGTATCCTTATCTGTTTTTCCTGAGTTGCTTCCATCCTGACTTTTCCTACCTGCTGGAATAAGATGATCTAATCGTGCAAAATATTATCATCACATTGGTAATAACTGGTGTTAAGAGAACTTCAAGATATTCACAGTTTTATTACTGCTCAGCATGATGTCTGTCTCATCGGCATACTCCTACCCACCTCGGGGCAGAGGGCAGGCTGGCTACAAGTCACAAGGCAGAAGAGATAAACAAAGGCTGTCCACAGGTGAGCAGTGCAGGTTGGGGGACTGCTACCCATCACTGGCAGGTGCCACAGGCAGCTCATTAAGGTTTTGCAGCCCACTAAGATTCAGTGCTGTGCTGCTGCCAAAAGCTGTCAGTTGTCAGAGTCACATTTAACCCAAGACCATGCCCAGTATGAAAACAGAGATGAGATGAGGAGCAGCCCTCTGCACATTAACTAAATAATTACATAGGAAATAATTCAATTAGAAACAAACAAGAAAGTAACTTCTCGCAGTGTCCACACGCTGCTTTTTGCCTTTCATGTGACTGAGTGATGGACAGCCCAGTGCTCAGCTGAATCTTTGAGTATGTCACTGTGTATGTTTTGCTGTGTTTAAAGCAGTGAATCAATGGCAGGCTCCCCTTTCAGATATAAAGTAGTGCTCGGCTTTTTTTTTTTTTATAGCCCTAGATTTATTCACTGCAGTTCCTTATGGGATGCTGTCCTTACAGCAGCAAGTGGAAATCTTGATCTGAAGCAGTATAAATAGTAGATTGCAAGTATCATGAGGCAAAGGATAGGAAGTATGAAAGTAGATCACAGAGACACTGTGTGCATATGGCTGTAAATTGGTACGCTTGAGATATGGACAT